AGCTGGCGAGGACCACGGCTTGCTGGTGCTCGTCGACGGCAAGCGCGGCGCCTGGGGAGTGGGCTCGGGACCGAACGTCAAGGTCCAGCGCCAGGCAGCCAAGCTGGCGCTCGCCCTGGCTCAGTTCCAGGGGCGGCCCATGCCAGGACTCCGCCAGCTCTGCAAGGACAACAAGGGGCTGCTCGACATGATGCGGACGGTCGACGCGGAGGCGGTCGGCGGGCTCACCGACGCGGAGGACGCCTCGAGCGGGGGCGACGCGGGCCCTGCGCCGGCACGCGCGGCCGACACGGGCGAGGACGACGTGACCGCTGCGCTGGCGCGCGCGGCCATCCAGGCTGCGGCGCGGCGCCGGAGCAAGGGAGCCCCGGCGGAGCGCCCTCGCACCCCACGCTCCCCGGAGCAGAGGCGCCTCGCCGAGGAGGTCCGCAGGCGCGAGCGGGTCGCCCGGACCCCATCGCGCACGCGGCGCCGTGATCGCGAGCGCGAGGCGCGTCCGCGCTCGCGCCTTCGCGATCGAATGCGCACGGAGGATGACGTCGTGAGGCCCAAGAGCGGGGGCGCTCCACCGAGGGCCATCGTCGTGAAGAAGGAGGTGGAGGAGCCGGCGGGCACAGGCGCGGGGGGCAGTCCACCCCAGCGCCGCCCGCGCTCGAGGAGCCGCCGCAGGCGCAAGGAGGAGCAGCGCCCGAGCGCCCAGCAGCAGCCCAGTGACCAGCACGACGAGGGCGAGGCCATCATCCGCATCGAGAGGGCGCCGCACGAGGTCGACGCCGAGGTGGTCAGGCAGGTGGTGGTCCCCTTCGGAGTTGTCAAGCACATCGCCTTCCTGTACGACCACCGCCACAAGAGGGAGCCCTGCGTGCACGTGGAGTTCCAGCGTCGCGCGGACGCGGCGCGCGCGGGAGTGCATGCGGACGGGGTACAAGTTCTACAAGGAGGACCCCTGCACGGTGGTCGCGGAGTGGGCGAGCCGCCCGCGTGGCCCGGGCCCAGGCAGCGACGGGGAGGACGGCCCGACCGTCCAGCCGCCTGCCTGTCCGACGTGCGCCCGTTCCTTCGACCCGGGCGACGGGCGGGGCTGCGAGCTGTGCCCCGCCGGGGGGGCGAACAGCGGAGCCCTGCGGTGGCGCTGCAAGGGGTGCGACGTGAGCTACTGCGAGGCCTGCCGCGTCGGCTACGGCAAGCCCAAGACGCTGGCGGCGAAGGCCAGGCAGAGCGACCGCGCCGAGAGGGAGGCGCCAGGCTCCAGCTCCGGCCGCGGGGGGCTCCCCAGCGCAGGAGCGGCGAGCGCGGGTGCCGAGGGGGACCGCCCGCCGGGCGACCTCAGCTGGCCCAAGCGCGAGAGGTCGCCCAGCGTGAGCCTGGCGAGGGACCCAGCGTGGGCGCACCGCGGCGATACCCCCCCGGCCGCGCGCGGCGCAAGACCGGGAAGCACGCCGGGCAGCTCCCCGAGGCGGCTGGCACGAGCAGGAGAAGAAGAGGAGGCGCGCTGCGGCTGCCGCAGCCGAGGCCGCCGCCGGCGGGGCGGGGACCCCAGCGTGGCGCGGCAAGGGCTTGGGCGACAAGAGCGGCAAGGGCACCAAGGGCATGGGCAAGCACACCGGCACAGCTGCCAAGGGAGCCAAGGGCCGCGGCAAGGACAACAAGGGCGGCAAGGGCAACTACTCCAAGGGCGACCAGGGCAGCCGCGCCCCGAGCGAGCGCGCCTGGGGCGGCGAGGGCAGCCGCGCCTCGGGCAGCGCGGGCCGCCGCGAGCGAGGCAGCGACGGCGGCGGCCCCCGCAGCCGCAGCGGTCGAGACGGGAACCGCAGCGGCGGCGAGGGCCGGGGCCGCCAGTGTGACGCGCCGAGGGAGCCATCCATCTAGGCGCGGCACCCACCCCCCACAGGCCAGCGCCCGCGGTCCCGCGGGCTGCGGGCGGCAGGCAGACGGGCCGCTGTGAGGCGGATCACCACGCGGCGCCAGGCCCGTGAGTGTGAGGTTGAGTTTTGGGCGTGGCACGCACGTCGCGATGCCACGCGGCCCCCTTTTCCCTGCGCCCTGCGCGGGCGGGGCCCCACTTGCGCAGCGCGCCCAGTGCGCCATCGCGCCGCTTTGCTTTCTCTTTCTTTTACTTTGCGCGCTTCGCGCACGCGCCGCGCCCGCGCTTGGGTGCGCGGGGCGCGGAAGGCCTCAAGGATGCAGGCTAGTGGCCGCGCGCGCGAGGCACTCGAGGCCTCGGGATCCGCCCTCGTGCCCCTGGCTGGGCGATCCCGCGCGCGCTGCTGCGCTCTCTCTTTCTCTTGGCCGAGCGGCCGCAGGAGTGCCAGAACGCAGGCGCGTGGGCCGTCAGGGCCCACGCGCGCGCGTCGGGCGTGGGCCGTCAGGGCCCACGCCCGGGTGGAGGTGCGCGTCGCCACGCTGCCATGAGTAAAATATTATCGCTTCGTCCCTGTCCCCTCTCTCGTCTCCTTCCTCTCCTCCCCCTCCCCTCCGTTGAGTGCACGCGTATCTCACTTAACTTGTATAGTCTGTTAGGTTTGTAGACTGCAGGTTAAGTGGGAGGGGGTGTGGGCTCAGGTAGCCATTTTGGGTCCGTAGCGTTCGGCTCAGGCCGACGCGCGGGTGCCCACCCACCCCGCTTTGCTCCCAGACGCCTGCGTGGGCCGAGCTGCCGCAGGCGTGCCAGAACGCAGGCGCGTGGGCCGTCAGGGCCCACGCGCACGCGTCGGGCGTGGGCCGTCAGGGCCCACGCCCGGGTGGAGGTGCGCGTCGCCACGCTGCCATGAGTAAAAGATTATCGCCTCGTCCCTGTCCCCTCTCTCGTCTCCTTCATTTCCTCCCCCTCCCCTCCGTTGAGTGCACGCGTATCTCACTTAACGTGTGAGTTGTGTATATTGTGCGTTGTGTGTGCTGTGTTGTGTGTTGTGTGTTGTGCGTGGTGTGTGTGTGTGTGTGCGCTGTGTGTGTTGTGTGTGTGTGTTGTGTTGTGTGTGGTGTATGTGCGTTCTGTCGTTTGTTGTGTGTGGTGCGTGTGTTGTGTGTGTGTGTTGTGTAGTTGTGTTGTGTGTTTTGTGTGTGTGTGTGTGTTGTGAGCGTGTTGGGTGCGTGCTGTGTGTGTTGTGTGTGTGTGTTCTGTGTGTTTGTGTGTGCTGTGTGTGCGTGGTGTGTGTGTTGTGTGTTTGTGTGTGTCGAGTGTAGTGTGTATGTTGTGTGTTGTGTGTGTTGTGTGCGTGTTGTGTGTCGTGTGTTGTGTGCTGTGTGTATTGGGTTGTGTGTTGTGTGTGGTGTGTGTTGTGTGCGTTGTGTGTTGTGTGTTGTATGTGTTGTGTGTTGTGTGTTGCGTGTTTGTGTGTGGTGTGTGTTGTGTGTTGTGTGTGTTGTATGCGTTGTGTGTTGAGTGTGTGGTGTGTATTGGGTGCTGTGTGTGGTGTGTGTGTGTGTCTGTCTGCTTGTCTGTCCGGCTGTCTGTCTGCTTGTCTGCCTGACTGTGTCTGTCTGTCTGTCCGTCTGTCTGTCTGTCCGTGCTTGTGTGCGATCGTGTGTTTGTGTGTGCGTGCGTGCGTATGTGTGTGTGTGTTGTGCGTTGTGTGGTGGGCGTTGTGTGTTATGTGCGCTGTGTGTTGTGGGTTGTGTGCTGTGTGTTGTGTGTTGTGTGTGCGTGTGTGTGCGCCTGTCGTGTGTGTGTGCGTGTGTGTGTGTGTGTGTGTGTGTGTGCGTGTGTGTGCGTATGTGTGTATGGCTGCGTGTGTGAAGGTGTGAATGAAGGTGTGTGATTGTGTTGAGCGTGTGGAGTGTGTTTGCGTGTGTGTATGTGTGTATGTGTGTACGTGTGTGTGTGTGTGTGTCTGTGTGTCTGAGTGTCCGTGTGTCTGTGTGTACGTTTGTGTGTGTATGTGTCTGTGCGTTTGTGTGTCGATGTGTCTGTGTGTTAGTGTAAGTGTAAGTGTAAGTGCAAGTGCAAGTGCGTGTAAGTGTGTAAGTGTGTAAGTGTGCGTATGTGTGTGTGCACGGCGGAGATGTGAGCGAGCGAGGCACATTCAGCATATTATCGCGTGCACCGTAGCGTATCCAGTACTTGGGCAGCGTTCCGCCCCATACTACCATTTCACCTTGACGCTAACATCATTGGATCGGGGGTCTCCGAAGTCGGCCATATGCGAAGAGTGGGAAGAAGTTGGAACAGGAGGGTGCGCTCCATGATCAGTGATGCGAGCTCGTTTTGCCCTGATCCTCCTCGGCGGAAGCAGGAGCAAAAGACGTCAACATCTATGGATCCAGGGTCTCCGGAGTCGGCCACATGTGAATAGCGGAAGCCTGCGACGGGAGGGTGCGTTCCAGCATCAGTGATGCGTGCTCGATGTGCAATGGTCCTCCTCTCCCCCCTCCTTCCCATTGTCAGGGGCAACGTTGGGGCGGGATAGACTCAGGTGCTCATGCATCGACCCCCAATCGCCCATTGATCGCCGAGGGGACCTGACTCAGATTCTTGCTAATAAGTGATTTGCAAAGAGGGCTTCAAACATGTACACAATAGTTCTTACACTGGTTGGTGCTGGCTCGTGCTGGATACGGGCAAATTGCGTTGCATTTGGCGTCGTTGGTCCGTGAGAGGGGCCACGCGCCAAGAACCACAGGATGAACTATTCCATTTCTTTTGTGCGACCCCATTACGAAAGACCCCCTTTACCCAGACCCAACTGACAGCCTACCCTGCCCAGGACCGTGTCGATTCGCTGTCGGGGGCCTATCGCCGATCTATCGGCGACGTACCGCCGATTCAAGCTCGATGCTCCCCCCCCTGAGCCGGTCCCCTGGTGGTTTTCGGGCCATAACTCGGCTCTCCGACGGCTGTCCGGGACGACCCGGGCAGCCGCCCTGGAACGCCTTCGGCGAAGCACAGCCGCTGCAAGGCATCTCGAGGCTGGAAAACCGTCGAGAGCCAACGAAAACGCCCGAAAGTTTCGAACCTCTAACCAACCTCGAAGCTTCGAAGCTCCCACTTACGCCCCCCCAAGGAGGATCTGGCCAAGGCCACGGCGCCGCCCGCCGCGGAGCTGGTTGCCGCGGCAGAGCAGCCGCCCGAGCAGATTCCCAAGGTCCTCCTCCCGATGCCCCTCCTCGCTCATCGCCCCTCCTACCGCTGGCCAAACTCCTCGTTCCGGTCTCGCTGTCCTCCTCCTCCTCCTCCTCCTCCTCCTCCTCCTCCTCCTCCTTGGGGGGCGTGAGGAAGGGTAGGAAGAGGGGTGAGGAGGGGGAAGGAGGGTTGAGGAGGAGGAGGAGGGGTGAGGAGGGGGAGGAGGGGTGAGAAGTGGGAGGAGGAGGAGGAGGAGGAGGAGGAGGAGAAGGAGGAGGAGGAGGAGGACAGTGTAAACCCAAGATTGATCAACGATGTTGGAATAAACCCTCCCTCCAATCTCCCTCGTTACAGGCTCCTACAAGGATTCATGTCCACTGAGGGAAGTGCCCCGTTGGGAGACAACCACCGTTTGAAGACCCTGAAGTGTGCCAAAACACCGTTCTCGGGACTCCAACGCCAATAATCAACGTGGTTGTTGCCTCGATGATCCTGAATCGTGCCAGAACGCCATTCCTGGGACTTCAACACCGCGAATCAACGTAACTTTCTTCCCCTGACAACCCTGAATCATTTCCAAACACCGTTTCTGGTACGTTGACTGTGGGATTCCGTAAAACTCGTGCACGTGTTTAAACGAACGCGCGCGGCGCTAATGCTAGAGCCACATTTCGAAAACAGACCGCACCCCATCCGTGAAGCGCTTGCGTGCTTTAAAGACAAAGGTGCGCGACGCCATGGCGAGAGCCATCGTTTGAAAACGGCCCGCCCTCCATCCGCTAAGCTCTTGCAACTTTTTAAAGACGAACGTGCGCAGCGCTAAGGGGAGAGCCACATGTTGAGAACCACCCGCCCTCCATCCGTGAATCTCTTGCAATGTTTTAAACCGATTGCGCGCGGCGCTAAAGCGAGAGCCACGTGTTGGAAGGAAACAAAAAACGCCCTCCACCTGTGAGACTGCTGCCAGCGTTTAAGCTTCAGGGTCATGAATGGTGCGGAAGTCTCAGGCAAACTGCCCGGCCCGCCCCTTCGACCGGCCTCGGGGCGCGACAGGGAGGAGTTGTTTAGAAGCAACAGGAATGGAGGAGGAGGAGGAGCAGGAGCAGCAGGAAGAAGAGGATGAGGAGGGGTAATTAGTAGGTGGAGGAGGAGGGGTGAGGTGAGGGGTGAGGAGGAAGAAGAGGAGGAGGAAGAGGAGGAGGAGGATCAGGAGGAGGAGAGGTGGAGAGGTGGAGGGAGGAGCGGTGAGGAGGAAGGAGGAGGAGGAGGAGGAGGAGGAGAGGTGGAGGAAGGAGATGGGAGGAGGGCAGCAGGAGGGAGGTAGAAGAGGGAGACGAGCACAAAAACGGCACTCATTCTCGCGCGTCTACCCCTCAGTTGAGGCGTTACCATAGACGACGGTGGCGCAGTCCAAAACTTGGCATGTATGGTTAATGTCTACTCTAAGCTGTTGACTCCAAGCGCTCGGCCCAATTTGAAGTTGCTTTGCGCAGGTCGAAACTTGACATGTATGTCTCATTCGGTTACCATATTTCGACTCCAAGCGCTCGGCCCGATTTGAAGTTGCCTCGCGCAGATCGGAGCGTTGGGGCCGACTCTACGTTGTTGTTCCCTTCTTGGCTGATTGTCGCCCCTGCTTTCGCATCACTCACTCATGCGACCCTTTCCTCGTGGCTGGGGATCCACGAATGGCATGGCCCTCGAACGCAATGTCTGCCCGTGCGGAGGCAAAGTCAGGTGCGTTGGCGATTGCGACAGCATGCCGCTCCAGGTCACCAGGGGATCCGGTTGTCTCACCCCCCTGGCCAGCCTAGAGGCGCCGCGCCCAGAGATGCAGCCTGCATGCCAGGAGGCCAGGCGTCCGAGTTGTACTAAGGGCCTTCCCAGCAGGGGGAGGCGGTCGCAATCTTGTGCCTGACTCGACTGGGACATACGGTGGGGACACATGAGACTGCCAGAGGCACTTTCTGAGGCCTCCGGACACCTAACAAGAAGACTCTGAGCAACATCCTGGGGGCTCAAGAGCCAGCATAGCTTCAGTCTTCGGGCTGGGCTAGGACGAGGACGTGTCCGTTCCAGAGCGCTCCAGAACAGTCTCAGAGCGTTCCGGAACGCTCTGAGAAGGCCACGGCGCCCGACAGATCCTTCTGCAGCCGCCAGATCTCGGAGATTCTGGATCCATCTCCACCCGAATTGATCCTCGTCCTGGCTTCGTCGTGCGTTTCGGCTCAAGACAGCAGGAGGGCGTCGTGTAGGATGGCCTGAGGAGATGGCCCCCAAGGGCGCCGCCGGCGGGGCCTCTGGCGCCAGGGTGCCAGGCGCTAAGCCTGCGGGTGCCGGCGCGAAGGCCCCGGGCGTTTGCGCCGGCGCGAGGGCCTTGGCCGCAGCCGTGGCCTCGGCGGCGGCAGCAGTCGAGTGGGAGATCGACTGCAGAAGTGATGCACCCCGAGATTGATTTCCTCGTCGGATCTACGAGAAGAGTACGAGGGTGCTGCTTATGAGTTTCGTCGGTTCGGCGAGATTCCAACTCTGGGGTTAATCCATCCTGTAGTCGATGTCCTGCTCGGAGCAGAAGATGTCGCTGGGGCAGCTGCTGCCGCGAAGGCAGCGGGTGAGGCGACGGGGCAGTTGCAGGAGGCCAGGGGGCTCACTGGCGCAGGCGACGCTGGCTGCGCTCCAGCGGAAGACGGTATCCTCGAGGCGGCGCCCGAGAGTGGAGAGGTCGTGTTGCGGTACGTCATGTACAAGGAGCGATTTTCCATTCGGGAGGGGCGAATAACGGCCACGGCCATCGACGAGGTGTATTGCCTCTCCGACGTCATGCCTGGGTGCAAGATCCACCTGAGTGCCAAGAGCCCGGAGGAGAAGTACGCGATGGAATCCGCCGGGGAGGATTTCCCCTACGTCTTTGAGCAGCCTCAGGGGACCTTCTGGGGCCTTGCGCCGGGGGCCATTTACTTCGTCCACGTGGCGGAGGACGAGGCGGAGTTCCTGAAGTCCCAGGCGCTTGCGAGGCAGAAGTTCGCTGCCGCCGTGGCCGGGGGCTCGGGGGCCCTGAGCCACGACGTGTACACCTTGGCCTTCAGGCACGTGCTCCTGGACGCACGACAGGAGGGGCAGCGCAAGGGGCTGGAGGGGGAAGACCTCAGCGCCTTCGTGCAGGCGAGGGTCGAGGCATTCAACGCGGGGCAGTGACGCCCGTGCCGAAGGAGCACACCTCGCAGCAGTGGTAGGAGGAGAAGAGTGGGTAGCAAAACATGCGGAAGTAGGAGGGAAGATGATTCCCTGTCTGACCACGATGTTGGAATGTGGAGCATAGGCGTGCGAAGAACCCTCACAGGGGGACGCCCCGAAAAGTGTCTCAGCCGCTTCTCAGTCACAGGAGAGGCCAGAGGCCCCAAGATGCCTCGCCTTGTCGATCCGTGGGCTTTACCTTCCTGATGGTTCTTGTCCTACTGATCCGAGCACCTCCTCCTGCCTCCTCCCCCTCCTTTCCTCATTCCCACTCCCTTCTCGCCCTGCTGGTACGAGAGTCCCCCTCCTCATCCTCGTTGCTTCTCCTCTCCCCGTCCTCCATTCCCTCTTCCCCTGCTGAATTGAGAATCCTAATCAGCAGCAGCATTGATACCACCATCATCATCATCATCATCATCATCATCATCATCATCATCATCATCAGCAGCAGCAGCAGCAGCAGCATCACCATCACCATCAGCATCATACTCAACATCAGTATCAGCATCAGCATCCTCTTATCATCATGATCATCATCATCATGATCAGCATCATCAGCATCGTCGTCATCATCACAATCATCAGCATTATCACCATCAGCTTCATCATCCTCATCATCGTCCGCGTCGCCAGCATCGCAAGCATCAGCGGTATCATCTTCAATCGCATCATCAGCAGCAGCAGCAGCAGCATTGTCATCGTCACAATCACCAGCACCATCATCATCATCTGCATCATTGGTATGGACATTGTCATTGCCATCATCGTCATTACCATCCTCATCATCATCGTCATTAACGTCGTCATCATCATCAGCATCATCATCAGCAGCATCGGTATCATCATCAGCATCATCAGCAGCAGCATCATCCGCCGTCTCTTCATCCTGTGCCCCCCTCTCCTCCACCTCTTCCATGTCCTCTTCTCGTGGCTGCCGGATGTTCCCAATCCCAATATCATCGGCTTCGCCCCGATAGCGGCCCATAGCGGATCCATCCGAAAAAAATGGAATTCACAGTGTTGGTTGGCAGCGCAGACGTGTTGTCGCAGATGTTGCGCAGTGCGCGGCAGAAGTGAAACGCGGCACACATGTCTTGCGAGAAAGCGAAATATCGTTATCGCCCGTTGCACATTTTGCTCTGAGAGTGGCAGCCCCCGCTTTGGCGCGGCGCACGTTTCCCGCCCATCAGATCCATTGGAGTCGGGGCCTTCCGAGAGAAGCCGAGATCGAGTTCTCGCCAAGGCTCCGCACACATAATGAACGCAGGTGTCGCTCCCGTCTGGGCGCCTCGACCTGTTGTTCACCACCAGGCCACATGATACGGTGCGGGCGTTCGTTAAGGAACATGCCCAGGGGGCTTCAGACCTTGGAGGATTCCTAATCCGATGTGGGCGACGGCGGTATCCGTTGCCAAGCCTCAATTGGTGCTCCACGGGCTTCCAGACCCTGGATTCCTCATCCAAGGGTTTCTTACCCAATGCCCTCACTGTACTGCACAGGCAAGAGGGGGGCGGCGCGCCAAGCGCACGAACCTTTGCGGCATGGAGCATCGCATACGAAGTGAGCTTGGTGCTCACTTCGCACTGCGGGCTCCTGGTGCCTGGTGAACGGTCCGTCGGTAGGAGTGCTTACGGACCCCGTTGATCCGAGTTCACTGGCCATGACGGGGCCTCACACCTTACAGGCACGATGGTGTTATGTCGTGT